AACAGTCAGAAAAATATCTCAAAACTACATCCTCAAAATATCAGGTTTACACTTAAAAGCGATACCTATCGATGGGTATTCTGATACAGATTTTTGATTGTAAGCCTGGAAAAAAAAATTGTTAGAAATTTGAAAGGTTACAGTGTAATAGTCATTATCAAGAGAAATTACAAAAAAAACGTTTCTTATTCATAAGAGCCAGAAAACCAATTGATCGATTCAAAAATATTTGATGGAAGCCTAAAAACTTATACAAAAAAGTACAAAAAATCTCTTCGCCAAAAAATTAGAAAAGAAGTCTGTCATCGAACAGACTTTTTATTAGATCCACTTTTAGGCGGACCGACTTTTAACCGTCTACTAATCAGTTAGAACGCTAAGTTCAAACGCAGAGTGAGTAAGTAGCGAAACTTGAAAACGCTATAAGTGAGATAATGATTGGAATTTTTTTCTAAAAAAAAACAGAGATATCTACACGCCATTATGTAAGAAAAATTACGCGTAAGTAGTCCGTGAAAATTTGATGAAAATGACAATTTCAAATCTCCAGATTTTTAAAAACAGCAATAGTTAGATATTTTGTTTCCATTTCAATCAAAATGTCAATATTTTCAAGGAGCAAAAAAATTCGTTTATGTCGGCTAAATCAACCACCAAATTTTTCTGGATTCTTGTTATTTTGTTATTTCTTTGAAAACAAATCAATTTTTCCGAATTTTTGCCTAAATTTTTGCGGAAATAGGTTTTTTCCCATATATAGTCAAAGCGTCGATATTTTCACTGGGGCTTCAAAAATCCGAAGTAAAACTCATTCTCCTCCAGAGAAAGAACCCACATATTATCTGTTCAACAGTTCCTGGAGCACACAGAAACACTCTCAAAAAACTACATGAAAATTTGTTTTAAAAAATTGGCCTGGTCTCGAGAAAAGCTGGTTTGAAATTTTTGAGATTCAGTCTATTTTCGAGCGAGTAACGCGATGGAGTAACGTTCGTTTAATGGATTTTTTGTTTATTTCCAGGTTCGCAAAACTTGATTTTTCAATACGAAAAACTCGTTTGGGATGTTTCATTCAGCGCTTATTAGGCAATAAAAGTTTTCTACAAAAAAAATTATTGTACAAAACATTAAAACATTTTTTCTGTTTGGTTTTGATTTTTTGAAATAAAAGTTGTCATCTCATTACAAATTGTCAACTTCATTAACGTTAGACGCGTTTGTACAAATCTCGAATCAAACCACGCGCTAAAATTACACAAATTTAAAAAAGAAGAAATGAAAAAAATTTTAGCTTCTTATGAATATGTTCGGAATATTCTGTACTACCTTTAGAACAACCGGCAACTTTTTCTGTTTTGAAAATTATTGGCAAGTTGAGTCTACGTAAGAAGGTAGCGGCACGAACCATTGCGGGTATCAAACCGCCAACTTTGCAATAGGGGCGAATGCCTTTGCCACTTCGCAGTTGCTTCTCATGTGTGTAACCAATTGCCAATTTGTTCTGAAAGAGGTCCCCGAAAACATTATTTTGTAAGTTTCTTCAAAATTGAAAACCTTAAGTCATTCAAAAGTTTGAGACAGTCTGTTGTTGCTTCTTTTGTTTAGAACTAGTGTGATTTATCCTGTTTTCAGAATCTAAGTTATTTTGTTTCGCTTTTTAATGAAAATGACGGAATACTTGTTATACTTTTTTTTTCTGACCAACATCGATTTTTAATTTCTTTGCCAGAATTTTCAAACACCATTCGAAAATTATTTTTGACTTGAGCTCAAATTTTAAGAGATATTTCACCGGTGCTTATTGTTTAAATACTTGTTGGGGTTTAAAATTTGCCAGCTTTGTCCATATAAGACTACTAACGACAGATTTATTTCGTGCTAAAAACGAGCAGGCGGAGAAATAACCTATCATAGAAATAGAGTTTGATCCAAATTGAATTGAGTCTTGCTATTCACTTTTTTTTTACTCTGCTATATGCGAAGTATATCAGTTTAAACTTTTTCAGCGTGTGTTATAAAATGTTTCTTTTCATTTTTTTCTTCTTGAAACAATGCAGCATTTTATTAGAGCAAATACTATTCTGTGGACCTGAAAAAAATAAATAGAACATATTTAAGTTTTCGCAATGATACGAGCAGTCATGTCGTAATTAAATTTCAAATTGGTAATTAAATTCACTTGTTAACTCAGCATAACGCTAATTACGCTATTTCAGAGAGTAAGATGTCGGACCACAAAATTAATTTTCTATTTAACGAGCCAATGGTAGTTTTTTTGAGAGACAAAATGTGTTGGTTGGAGGGCTTGCTAATCTGACTTTCGAAGAAAGTTGGGATTAGTCAAACCACCCATTTTTCAACCAAGGAGCAAATGCCTTAGCCACTTCGCAATTGCTTATCATGTGTTTAACTAATTGCGAGTTTGTTCTGAAAAAAGACATTATTCTGTTTTTTTCCTTCAAATTAAAACAATTACTCATTGAAAAAACTTGAGACAGTCTGTTTTTGCCTCGGATGTTTTTGAACAAAAATTGTGTGACAAAACCCTGTCTTACAAAAAAAATAATTTTTTTTGTTCCGTTTTTCCGTTTTGTGGGCGGGTACTCTTTTCTGATACTTTTTTGCTGACCAATTTCAATTTTCATAATGTTTGGCGGAATTTTTTAACACCATCCGAAAGGTTTTTTTGACTTGAGCTCCAACTTTAAAAGACAATTCACGGGTGTTTGTCTTTTTATGAACTTAAAATGGTTTGAAATTTTTCAACTTTGCCCATTTCGGACAACTAACGACAGATACATTTTGTGCCAATAACAAGTAAGCGGAGATGTACTCGTCTTAGAAATCTTTCCAAATTAAATTGCGTTGGCATGATATTTGATCTATTCTTCAATTTGTTTTATGCTAAGTAAATTACTTTGTAATTTAAAAAACGTGTTTTACTATAAGTTCTGAAAAATCTATAAATATTTTTTAAACTCATAGTTTGGTGCGCATAGTTTGGTGTGTGTAGGTCTCTGGAATCCATAAACAAGTCTTAAAACATCTAAAATTTTTGTCGGAACGATCAATGAAAACAATGGAACAAAAGAAGAACAAAGGAGCGTCCTTGTTGCGGAATTGGCTTTTATTTCACTAAATACACAGTTTGGAATCGTAACGACACTACCTCAAATACCCTAAAAGTGCGTGGAATATAACACAAAGCCAGACTTTTGTGAGAATATAACACAAAGCCAGTAAAATACTCGATTCAGCGCAATACTCGATTTGATAAAAAAAGAATTGCAAAAGTCTCAGTACAAATTATATTTTCAGACGTTTTTGTCTACTTCCCGGTTTAACATGCAATGAAAAATTGGGGCGTACAATATACTTTTTTGGGGCGTACAATTACTATTTAATTGGTATAAAAAGTTTTGCTCAATTCGATTCTACATGATTTTGGGCGCTGATTGATTCACCGGGCGGAAAAAATATGCCGTTATCATTTTGACAAATTTGAAAAGTTTTGCAAGTGATTTTTTTTCAATTTTGAGCTTAAGTTCATTGTTTTGTTTCCACCGTGATTTATAACCAAACACCGCTAGAAGCTCTTTTTTTCAGAGACAAATTTTGTTTGAAGGACTAAAAACCATACTTGGCTAAAAACAATCCGTTATTTTTTTAAAATTTAGGGAAATTAGTCAGAAAAAAAGAATAAACTTTTAGTTTGGACTTAATAAAAAAAAAACGTATATCTTTTGGTTATGAGAAAAAAATGAATTACCTATTTTTAACTAACATAAAAATCCTGGTTGAACAGAAATGCAAAATTTTTTTGAAACATTTTTAGTTCGTCTGTTATCGATAATTATAGGGCAGCCAAATACTTTGAAAGCAAGTGTTAAAAAACCGTAAACTCAATTCAAAGCAACTATTATTCCGACCACAAATGGGAAGAAATTGGTTGGGTCCTACTAATTTTGTTGCGACCATTAAAATGGTAAGGGCCTTTGTCTTCGGGTGTGTTTTTGTTCCTTTTGTTAATCAAATACCACAAACAAATATCTTAATGTGTCTAGTAATATATAATTGCAACCCCCTCTCAGTTTCGATTTGAACTAAATAAAAATTGACGAACAAAATTTTTCAGTGTTTTAAATGTTTGGTTATTGTTCTAAATTCGAGTTATTGCACTGAGCGAGTAGGTTTTATTTATTTTTCAACCAGAATCATTTATCGCAATTTTTCAGCGAAATGAATCGAGTGAAATATCAAACTAAATCCTTTGAATCGCAATTTGTTTTAGTTTTAGTCAAGGGCGAGTATGTCTTTTAAAGACGTTTTTTTTTCTTCCTGTAAGTATTAAAACATCCTAGATTTACTACAAGAAAGATAGCTGTGCAGCTGCATTTAACGTTTCTTTGGCAAAAGTTTATATAATAAATTTATGACTTAAAAATATTTTTCTGATCGCCGATATTGGTCTGATCTACAAACCAATCTAAGCACTATAAGTGCCGATTCACCTAAGCATAGGTTTGAGGAATTACTGCATTTGTAAAAGAATCCGTTGTTAAGAGTATTTTCCTCTCCGAAACTCTTTTTTGTAAATATTCAGTTGCGAAAACTTCACTTGGCACAAATAGTAAAGCAACCTCAAAGTGAGCTGTTTAAACTTTCATGAGTTTTTGAAGCATTTTCATTAAAGAAGAATGCAGCCGCTCGGTCGAAGCAAAACCTGTTCCGGACCAAAACCAAAAACGCACATGGTAGTACTGAAAAGCTTATAAAAATTGTATCAAAAGTCATGCTAGGACAATTGAAAAAACAATCCCAGAGCGTCGGAGCAGATTATACAAAGCTATAATATCTGTGTGCGGATTAAGTTTGATCACGTTTTTTGTTCTGCGTCTCTTGTTTGTGGCACGCATGTTTACTCTGGTCTGAAACCTTCAAATATGGTATAATGAGTGGTACACATTTGATCACTGTGCGAAGCGAAACTATTAGAGTGGAATATTCAATTTGTTTTTTAAAAACGAGTTGCCGCACGTTTTAATGGCTTTAATCGTTCTACCAAGCGCGGCTATGTGTTTTACATTATTTAACTATTTTTATACCAAAAGTACAAACTTGACTAATACCATTGCATTTGCATATAAGTCGATAACGTCATTTATGCTAGTAGCAAAAACTACAACAAGCAAACCACAAAAATACCTGTCGTCGATGTTTGTTTATGCGCAAATAACTAAAATTGTTTTTTTGTAGCGTTACAGAAGAATAACCGACAAAAATAATTTCCAATTAAGTTAACTTAAACCATTCTTGTTTGAAGTATACAATTCAATCACATTTTTCACACTTTATTTCAATAAATTCTACCGCCTGATCTGAAAACTTTTATAAAAAATTTAGCTTATATAAAAAACGCTGGGAACTTCTTCAGAAATTCAAAACATCAAGTGGTGAAAAGCAGTTCTAATCCGAGCCATGGCGGTTGTGAGGGCCAGCGACAAAAATATGGGGAAATACGCCGACCAGGAGGATAAGAAGCCTTCTCCTCCCTCCATTATCAGAGCCATCCGAAAAATATCTGTGGGATTATATCCAAATTACAAACCAAACGACAATGGTAAGTGTAGATCAACTGAGAAGTTGGCGACCAAAATGGCATTCCATTTATCATTTTAACATTTAGCCAACTTTCAACCCTTTTTTTGAAATACTATAGTAATTTCGAATAGGTGTGAAAAATTAAGAGAAATTTACCCGGTCGAGGTCAGCGAGTTAAAACAAGACACCGACGCAACCCAAGTTTTGATAATTATGACCGGCGCGACGTAATTTTGGCAATTAAAGACGCGCGACAAAAAAAACCACGGCGATTTAAATTTTTTTCTTCAATCGCGCCGAGGCTCAAAGAGTCTTTGATTGTGTCGCCCATTCGTCGGCTTTTTTCCAATCCCCCACCCCCCTCACCTCGCACGAGCATCACTTTTATGGTTTAACGAGGGGTCTTATAAGGCTATGAAGACCAATAATGTTTGTCATTCAGCCTAAATAGTCCACATGCAAATTTTCGTAATCAGACATTGTGAATATTGTGTACATTGTGTACAAGTAAAATTTAGCAGGTTGGGGGAAGGGTAGCAAAAAGCCATATTTGTAGTTTATGCCTTAAACTAGCGATAACTGTTTTCATTGCCTAACGTTAGGAAGCAAAAGCTCTAGCTTACGTAAGCTCAGAACATTTTTCCTTTCCTCCTGGGTGGGTTCGCACCACCAACCTTTCGGTTATCAGCCGAACGCGCTAGCCGATTGCACCACAAGAGCACAAACTAATCAAGCACAGGATCTGCTTTTAGAATTTTTGAGATGTTTTCTTCTTCATGATTAGCATTTTCGGTCTATGGAGGTCGACCCGGAGACATAGAACTCCCCCACTTAAGAACTCGGATCTCAATTTATATGTTAGGGGATCTCTTTACCTATGTCACCCCATGTTGCAATAGGGGGAGGTTCGTTTCTAGGTTTAAAGTTCTGATATGATTAACCGTTGATTTATTTCTTTATGGGGGGTATTCGTTTCTAGGTACCCGAGGGGGGATATAGTTAAAGAGATCCATGTTAAGTTTATGAAGCAATTTCTTTATCAAGTTCTGCACGAGAACCATGAGTTTTTTGGCCAAATGGAAACACGCATGTTCCTCGAGTAAAACTTCACACAATTGGCTGCATTAACTTAACAACTTAACAGACTAAATTGATGATAAAACGATATGGTTCAAATTGCCTTGCCATACAATTTGGCATAAGCGTTAATTACCCGGTAATTATTTCATGACAAATGAACCGCGTTACCGTTAGCAAAAATAAGGAATATAAAAACTCCCAGGTGAGGGAAAACGGTAGAACGATTCAAACATTTCCAAGAACAATCATCCGAGTCCGGCAGCAAATTGAAAAGACCATGATTTTATTTGAAGATAATTAACGAGGTGCAGACCTTGAGTTGAGTATTTAGTTTGCAGAACAGTGTTTTGTTTGATCAGATATTTAGAGATCAAACAAGCAAATATCCCAAAACAGACTGAAACTTGCGATCAGAACAACGAACGAAAGTTCTAATTAAGATCAACCACCTGTGAAATCTGTTCCGAGTCTATTTATCTTCTGATTGAGAAAACAATATTTGAGCAATTATTTCAGAGACATCTACTTTTTCATGTTTTATGCTTATTAGCTTGAGCGGTGTTGGTGCTTGATCATAATTAACTTCAGTCTTTTTTTTTAGTAAATTTAATCGAAAGATACTAAAAATGAAATGGCGTTACTCTAATTTGCGACTGGCTAAGTTTCCTATTGCTGTTCGGTCTAGCAACAAGGAAGAGTGTGTGTGTATTTTACTAGATGGAAACAACAACAACAACAACAAATCCCACGACAATCAGGGCTACCTATCTTCCCCAAGTGACACGATAGAGAAGATCAAAAAAGGGGAGGGGGAGGGGGATGGGGAGGGGATCGAGAGTGAAACTGGAGAGAGCAAAGATTCATCTGCAAACTCGAAAAAGCACAAGGTAAATTGAACGATTCTAAAAACTTTCACAAATATGTGCGAATCATCACAAAAGACTGTATCGAAAAAAAACTTAGGATAAATTTTGACAGCGTTTTATAAGGATTTTCAAAAAATAATCAAAATGAAGTGTATTATTTCGTGTCCGTGCATTATAAGTTTTTTCGAGAGAGTTTTACAGTTAAACGGTCATAATAAAAATCAATTCTGAAAGTGTTTGGCTTGGAGCCATCGTTTTGTAAATGATACCTGATCACAAATGCATAATTTTTTGCAATTTATAATTGCTCTTCGTGCAACGAACTAACTGATTAGTTATTTACTATATTTTGCAACACTTGATAAATGTTTAGAAGTCTGGATCCACATCGCACGACAAGGACAAGATCCCCCTGGGGAGGAAGCTGGCCCTGGCCATAGGTGCGGCCCCCCTCTCCATGCCCATAGTGAGTGCCACAGTCTTCATCACCCTCTTCCTGCTGGATGTGGTGCTGCTGAAGCCCAAGTACTCTTCACTTGTCCTTCTCCTCGGCAGGTCTTTCGATGCCATCTCGGACCCATTAGTCGGGTTCCTAGTCAACAAAACACAACGCAGAGGTCAGTTAAAATTGCATCATTCCAACTGAACCAAGTCACAATTGTCCATGTGGCTCGGAAGCTCTGGCTAATAATCCTTAAAAAACTTTGCACCAAGATGAATAGCTAACAAGACATACATTGGCAACTATTCCGTCAGAATTCCGTGGCAAACACAAAGTAATCGATCCGTTGCGAAAGTCAGCTTCGACAGTTTAGAATCTAAGCTCCGTGAAACATTTTTTATCGATTTATCTGATAGATTACGCTGAGTCATGGTCATTTCAAATTATCTCAAATTAATATTCGAAATTTTTTTTGTAATTTTCCTTGCACTTGATTTTTGTTAGTGAAAAACTTTTGCCTTTTTATTTTAAATATTTGCCGGGTAGTACAATAGACAATGATATGTATTTTTATTCATTACAGAAGTGCTTAATTGTTCGACCATAAGTTCCGTTATGTTTCAGGAAACACTTTGAAGTACTGGATGGGCTTTGCGATTCCCTTTCTTCTGGCGGCCTACTTCCTTTTATGGGTGGTACCAATGGAGAACGGAGAGAACCAAATGGGCTTCCTTTGCTACTATTTGGGCGTCTACATCCTTCTTCAAATCGCATTCACAATTTACAGTGTGCCTTACGCTTCGCTTATAATGTATCAAACCAACGATCAAAGGGAGCGAGACATCGCCACTGCATTCCGAATGACAGCCGAGATCGTGTTCGCTATAGTCTCCATAGCTGTGATGGGCGGAATCGTCGGCGGAGACCTCGACTGCGACGAAGACACGGGCGAAGTCGACTCCAAGTGGCTGAAAACTGCCGAGAACAAGTACATGATAGCGGCAGGAACAATCTGTGCTTTGATCGTTGCGTCTGGAGTAGTGACATTCCTGGGAACGAACGAGAGATCGGACATCACGATTGTTCCGAGCAAGATCTCCACTTGGACTGCGACTAAGCGAGTGATGAAACACAAGCCCTATCTGTGGCTGACTGCCTGTTACTTCTGTATGTATCTGTCCGTCTCCATTATCCAGGGCAATCTGCAATTGTACTTCAAATACCATCTGGACAGGGTGGAACACTTCGCTTATGTCATGGTCACTCTCATGGTCTGTGTGGGCGTGGGCATCCCTGTATGGCAAGTGGTCATTTCCAAAGTGGGGAAAAAGAACTGTGCTTATATTGGTAAGATAATTAACCCAAGAAATATTCTGTAATCTGTGTCGAGAAAAATTGGTCGAAATATTTCTGTTTTTAGACTAAAGGACACGAAATATCATAAAAAAAACCTTTTCAGTCGTGATTCAAATTACATTTAAAAATTATTTTAAAAAATTCCCAGTGTCGAGAAAAACCGTTTTTTTTTAGTTTCAATCTAATTTTCGAGCGAGTAACCTTTTTCATAATGAATTCAGGCAAGAAACTTGGTTTCACTGGAAAAAAAAACTGGTTTTCGAAGCTTCATTTAGCACTTCCTTGGCAAAAATTGTCTAAAAATGTATAAAAGTTAGTGTGCAAAAAAATTGGATTTTTTTTGATTTTTTAAATTTATTGTTTATCGATCAATTTGTTATACAGCAAATGTTGCCGATAACCTCTAATTCACTGACTTTTAATGCGTATTCATAGTTCTCTTGTCTCATCACGCACTAAAAACGACACTCAATTGAACAAAAAAGAAAAACCTTTTTTGTAGTTTTTTATGAATGTGGTCTGAGCATTCTGTGCTTCTTTGTACAGCCACCGCCTATCCTTGTTAATTCTGGTTTTTTATACTTCATCTTCTATTCAATCTTTTTTCTAGTTTTGAGATAGCACATTCTAATTTTGGACACATGTTCTAGCTATCTTAAATCTTATTAATAGTAATTTTCATGTTCTTGTCCAGTACTTAGTTTTGTTGATTAGCTCGCTTAGAGACATTCGTACTAAAAATTCGTTCTTGAAAAGTAAATGGTTAATTTCACTTGTTTTCCGAATGTTATTATTTTCCCCCAATTTTCGTGCACAGGTTGAAAAGTCAGAGGTTGGAAATAATTCAAAACCATAGTTCCTTAATCGTGGTTGCTCGTGAAACAAACAGCTCGTATGTTGGCTCCTTCTTTAGAGGAGAAAGGGTGTTAATTTGAAAATAAAAACAACTGTTGTGATTTAGGAGTGTTGATTCTGATCCCCTGCTACGGCATCATTGGCTTCGTCCCTTCCGATGTGCCCATCTGGTGTGTCTACCTGCTCTGCGGCACTGCTGGCTTCGCCATCGGCTCCGCCTACTTCATCCCATGGTCCATGTTACCGGACGTCATAGACAACTACACTGTCGAGAACGGGGTACGAAAAACAAAACATTGATTACGCTAAATATTCCGACCCTAACAAATCATTGGAACCAATGAATTGTTTTTGGGGCTCATTAAGAGCACATTTTCTGAGCAAGGCCACTGTGCCAAATTTTGGGTAATGTTGACGACAAAGGGTATGGAGACTCTTAGTTTTTTTGGCATAAATTTGATTTTTTCCTCAAGTTTTAACTTTTTTTTGAGTTTATGGAATACGGATTAACTGTTTCGATTGCTTCAGGAGAGAAACGAGAGCATATTCTTCGGCTTCTTCGTCTTTTTTAACAAGTTCGCGGCGGGTGCCGGAATTGGAATATCGCTGGGTATTTTGGAGATAGCCGGATACAGCAACGAAGAGTGTCACCAGCCAGAGGCGGTCCAGAGGTCACTTAGAATTCTCTGCTCCCCCGGACCTGGTCTGCTGGTCGCCCTCTACGCTTTCTTCGTTTTCTTGTACCCAATCACGGAGAAGAAGTGCAAAGAGAATAAAGCTATCTTAGACGAACGACTCAGAAAAGAAAAACATTCACGTGATTTCTACAAATATGTCAACAGGACTTTCGAATTTGACAACGAGGCCATTGAAAAGTTGTGAACTTCTTTCTTTTTGCCTCCTTTTATTTTCATTACCAAATTAGAAAATATTTTACTTAATTTTCGAAATTTGTACAAACTATTCTGCATTTTCAGAAAATTTTTATTTACTTTTTCTTGTAGATGTTAATTAGAAATTTTTATGCATTTTGCTGCTACAGATCATAAAATGAAAAACTATTTTTTGCTTTAAGCTGACAAGACACATGACATAATCACATTCTATAAATAAATTAATTGTTTTTTTTTAATTTCAACGGAAATATTCCGGGGTTGGAAAAGAATATACCAGTAGCTGCAATATACATTTTTCTCTATATTCTAATTTTTCTATTTTTTTTGCGTCCATTTCCTGAACTCAAGGTTTATTTGGTAACAAAAACACAATCAGAATAAAATTTCTCAGCTTGCGGTGAAAATTTTGAGCCACCACTATCCATCAGTTGACTTTCTCTCATCCCAGCCAATCATTAAAAGAGGAGTAATTTCAGGCCGAGCAAGCGGCAGTAGGAAAAAATTTCTACACAGAGGCGAAACTTCGCATCATATTTTCTGTCAAAATGTAATAAAAATTGCAAAAAAAACTACCAGCTCCATTAGAAATCTTACAAAGAGCTTTCAGAATGCTAAAAAAAGAAACCGAACCTTTCTGCAGGATCTAATTCGTCAAAAGTAGGCAGACACGAAAGTCAAGAATATTCAAAAATTTTCAGTTTTGACAAACAAGGGCTCGACTGAATACGCACTTCTGCAATTTAGCGTATCAAGCATTGGTGTTACCGCTGCACTAAATGCACAGCACACTCCATGAGTATGAAAAAACTTTCAAAAATTTCTTTTGAACATTAAGAAAAAATTGAAAAAAAGCAAGAAACTTCTTGCAACTCAAATACTTGCCCAAAGCCGGAATATCATAAAATGTTTTTCAATCCGAATATAAAATGCCCAAAATTTAGACAAATTTGGTGCTGCGGTAATTAAACCAACAAACAAGCTGAAAAACAGAAGTCCACAAAGATTTTCTGACACGCTGACAATTTTCCGGTTACAAAAAAAAAACAGATCCTGGCCAGATTTGAACGATTGACCTGATTGTATTTACAATCAGATGTGTTACCACTTCGCCACATGCCACATGCGCGAAGTAACGTCTTGGTTTTGATTTCATTTCAAACAAAAGTAAAAAAAATAATTGAAATGATTCTGGTAAACTAGTTGTTAACACGAAAAAAGTCCATATTTCGGTTTGATAACGTTCGCAACTCGAAAGTGTAAATGTGTTTCTTCGAAGAAAAAAAATCAAGTCAGATTAAAATTGACAATCCATTGTTCGAGTACAAAATACGAACCCATGAAGTTTCGGGTCACAGTTGTAACCTGTAAACTTTTCATATTTTCCGGATTAAGTAATTTTTTTCACGTTGATTAGCCAGTCAGGAATTATAGTTGATATATAGTCACAAGACATAGAAATTGCAACGTTTCGTGTTCACGCAATGAAGTGAACGTTTGTTTTCAATGTTGGGGCTGTTTTCTCTATAACTACTAGAGATTCACAGTTGAAATTTTGTTTTTAAACTGATGCGTGGAACTGTTTATTACAATATAACCAGATAAAAAACCGTAGAAAAACTTAAGAAAAATTTTGAGAGGTGCCTTTAATGCCAAAAAAACGTAAGCAGCAAAAAAAATCTGAAACTTTAGAAATAACAGAAAGCTGAAAAGATAAGAAAAGCCATCAGGATAAGTTTCCCGTTTTTAAAACAACAACAACAAACTTCTTACCTTGCGGAGAAAATTAACTCAATTTTTAGCTTTTACTAAATAAATTGTGGAAATTTCAAACAATTTCTGTCTAGGAGCTTAACAGAATTTTTGTTGTCTTTTGATGAAAAATTTTATTTGAGGAACTAGATCCTTAGTTTTTTAACAAACATTTATCAGTTTAAAGATTCAAACTGTTTCTGCTGTTTACGGGTCTTTTTGACGCTAAGTCCACTTCTCCGACGTCTTCTAAATCAAAGCAAATCACGCTTTGGAAGTAAGTTCTGACGGGTTTTCTATTCAGCTTTTTTCAAATTAAGAAACAGTTCCACCCATACCTTGTCAACTTTTCAACTGTGGAAACTTTTTCGTTCATTTCATAGATTTTCCTGAAATCCAAATTTTCCGCATCGACTTTTCTGAGCCCAAATGTTTCACCTTTTATTTTACCGTGACTGTAGTTCGGAAAAGTTGTCTCTTAAAAGTCTGTTTTACTTGTTGTCTGATTTAAGTCTGTTGTCTGTTTTACATGTGTAATGAAATGAAGTAGATAATTAGTCTACCAAAATTACAGTCGCTACAAAAATGATTTTAACATTACATGATATTAAATTTAGTAATTACCTATTTCCTATTTACCTATGATTATTTTTTTCTCCATTTATATTTAATCAAGTCCTAATGGCATATCAACTACCCGATTTGACATCCATAGGTCAAAAATACTAATCAAAGATTTCCATAAACTAAGTTTATGAAATAAATGCTACTCTTAAAAATTTCATACATTTTTTCAAAGTTGTCATTATCGAATTGTGAACGAAATTTTTTCTTATTTTAGCAGAAAAGCGGTTTACCATCATAAATAGAAAAAAAAGTGTCTGACAAATGGAAATTATATAAAAGCTTTTTCTATGGATGCACAAAAAATGTATTATTGTTCCGGTTCTCAAGATAAAATTTTTCATAATGCTTAGAAAGCCAATTTTTTGTATTGCTTATTTTTGTATGCAGAGAGCACTTTAGAAATTGCTACTTTCACTAATTGTTTATATATAACATCTATGTTCAGGTCCTTTTCGATACATTGTACATGCAAGTCTAATAAACTTTTATTGACTCTAGCTGTGAGAAACCAGAGTTTTTGTCACTTGTGTTCGGTCACGAGGATAATCGAGAAATTTTCAGATTTTGGTTTATGAAAAAAAACTAATACAATTTCCGTACCTAGATCGACTAAATCTTACACTCTGAGCCACATTTTTTATTAAATGTGTTTTTGAGATATCATCTTTTATTACAAGAAGGGCAAGGAAAACGTACATGAGGTCCCACGCTTTCGTACAAAATGGAAAAAAAATTTCCAAGCAAAAAATTTCCTTAAAACTCTTGCTGAACTGAAACAGATTATTACCCAGTGGCCCGTAAAATTTAGCAGAAAACACTATTTTCCAATTAGGAAATAGTTATTGAGTTAATTGTCTTGGGAAAAACAGCGACAGGGGTAATTTATAATTTTGTAAATGGTACATGGAGTAAAAGCAGCACCTGAGACTCCGAATTCTTAAGCTCAAATTTGCTTCGCAGTTGAACCAGATAACGATAAAACTTTAATTAGGCATTTGCTATGCTACTAGTAGGAGCAAGGCGATGAACCTGAAAAAAGGAAACCGATATCTGAGCGCTAGAAATGAAGCAGGAAAAAGTGAACGAGAAACTGAAAATGTCTAAAATTAAACCTAATTTAGAAAAACGTAGGCTCTGTTCTGACGAAAGTTATGTTCAATCATTCCTTTAATGAGCGTCATCGGAGAAGTGGTAGAAATTGAGACTCGCATTGATGGCCTCGGTTCTATTAATGCGCTAATCAACCTATTTTTTCAATTTTGTTTATATTTTAAACTTTGTTTTTCTACAATTTTAAGGGAAAACCTTGTTGTCCTTTTCTCTACTCTTTCAAAGAGCGGTTGAATTTTTCAAAGACTAAGTTGTCATATATCAGTTTGGATGAAACTTTTTTCTTGTTGTTTCTTTTTCATCATGTCACTGAACAAAATCAGGGTTTTAAAAGGCTTGTTTTAATTGTCAATCATGTTTGCAACCAACGCTTCAGTGCCATTACGGGTCAAGATTTAGTAAAAGAAAACTCCAAAAGTTGCAAAATAAAATTTCTAAAGTATCCGTATGTACGAACAAATCCTTAAAACCAAAAGCTTAGACGACGAGGCAATCGTCAAAATGCTGAATTCTGTTTGGTTAAAAAAGACTGCCTTTAACAAAGCATGGAATCGCCTCCCTAATTAGATTCAAGTGACCAAATATATGTGTTCGATGTCTTTTTTCTATCAAGACAATCTTTAATTGATAAAACTAGCAGCTACGTTAGGAGTGTTTTATAAATTGTCACTGACAGTGTGACTGTAAAAAAAATTGCAAAAAAAATCATATGGAGATTAGTGACTTTTTTCGAACATTTTTTGACATATTAAAATTGCATCCGGTATGGACTGTTCGGAGTGGCAAACATAGTTATACTCAATATTTAATTTTATAGACTCACTGCGCTGAGTAAATTATGTTAGTATGATGACCTTAAACCGAACAGTCAAGAGACTGAGTTGAAAGCTCAGAAGTTGATTAAACGATTTACGAAACAATTATTTAGTTGCGATTGAGGATTCTTGTTTTCCAATCTGTTCTTATTCAGAGTTTAATATATCTCATACTCTTAGTTACGACATAGAGAGACAACAGATTACAAAAGAAACTCACTCAGTATTAATCCTTTCTGGGAGAGAGCGTGGGCAGAACAACCACTTGTTTGGTCAAAGTGGGCGGCAATTTTAGAAATGGCAGTATTTGCGAAGGATAGCATCAAAGTCAGAAACTTTCTGCAACCTAAGCCGACGTTAGTAGAACCAACAGACCTCATACATGAAATCGAGATAACATAACTGACGGAGGCTCAAAAGTAAAACCGAAATGTAGAAAACCAATAAAATGAGCTGGTGGGAAAAACAAATGTCTAATGTCAAAGAAGAAAAAGGTGTATTATGTATCTCAATCCTGTGGGATTAAGCGGACGCAAAAGTACAGAGCTGCCTATTCTTCTACTTCAGCGCTGAAGGCCAACGCCGAGTACAACAAAAGAGACCGAGCCTAGACATACAAGCGGCATCGACGACAGAACTAATGACAGTTCTAGAAGATATCTTTATAACTACACGAATCATTGCCTTCGAGAAGTACAACTTTATTTGCAGAAAGCAAAAGAAAAATCAATCACTTAAACAACATCACGCAGATCTAGTGGCACTTGCTTCACGGGCAGACTGCGGCAACAGCAAAGACGAGTGGGTCAGATACATGTTTACAGCACACATGAACAATGAGA